GCCAGAGCAGAGAGGAACGAAGAGGTGATTGGTTGGAAGGTAAGAGCTTTCCAGCTGGTTATAAACCCAGGAATCAGTCAGAAATATTTATGTAAAGTTCAACATAAATGGTTTCGATTTTACCACTTTCTTTTTGTTTTGGAGCTCCTAAGTTACATTTCAATAAATATTTTTCTCAAAATATTTCAGTTCCGCTTTATGGTAAAGAAAAATGTAGAGAAATTGATTTATTTTCCAAGATAAAAATCTTGCAAATGAAGAGCAGGAAGTTGGCTTTTAAAAATGCATTTGCACAATATGAGCGATATAAATTCATAAACTTAATAATTTAAAAGAAAATTGATTTAAAATTTAAGAGACACATTATTTCCCCAAAAATAAAACATTGAATTTCCAGCAATTTTTTCTGTGAAACCATCCAGCCCTACAGAATAAACTCTAGTCAAATATTTAATGTTACAACTTAAACTTTGGTTTAAAATTTTCAGCATCTGTTTATCCTGATTTCTGATTAGTGCGGACTTTATGTGCTTTACTGAAACTGGCAGCTTAAACATAAACCAGAGTTTCCTTTCCTCTAACGAGTGTGTCACGCTGAGAGGTGTGGTGTGGAAGGAAAAATTCAGCAAAGTTGGTTGGAGCAAAAACAAAAGGTCATTTTTTAAGTCTCTTCCATCAGAGCATGGTTATACTTAGAACAAAATGGTAGCTTTCCCATCAGACCCTTACTACAGCCATCAGTCCACCTATATATTGTTATCCCCGCCTTCTCAATTTACCCCCAGCCAATCAAAGTTCAGCCATCATGGCTCCCTCTATAAGAGAGCTGGGTTTGAGGCGGGCCTCCTCCTTAGCAAGGTTCCAAGATGGCTTCTAAAAAGGAAACACCCACAAAGGTAACAAACAATTCAAAAAACAGAAGGTTCACATACACACACATTCTAGAACCTGAACATTACAGAAAATCGTATTGCTTCTTAACAGAGTGCTGTGACGTCATTATGGTCATTATAGGAAGGCTGTTCATTACTCATCTAACAAACAGTTTTTTAAAGGTCAGTCTGATGTTCTCTGTGTCGATAGAACAGCTGATTCTATTAATCAGCAGATTTAAGCTCCTGATGAAAACATCAGCATCTATTTAAATGATAAATCTGCACAGCAGAACTTTTATTAAAGTCATCTGTTTTCCCCTGAAGTTGTCAATTCCCAAATCTTTGC